TTACTCTGGCTGAAAATTTGCCCACTGTAGGTTTCTTCTAATGACATTCTTTTTTTTTTCGTTCTTTTCGTTTAACCGGATTCATCGGAGTGCAGCGTCACAGTTTGTTAAAATCCTTCAAGCATTTATATATTGTAACGTCTTAGCACAACCGTTTTATAAAAGCTGATGTATTTATGTACGCAACTGTTCAAGCAGAAAAGCGCACTGTTTCTCTCGCACTAAGGGAGGCAGTGAGAGGAACGCAGGCCATGGCGAGCATTTCGCCAATGCTACTGTCCACTGCGTTCAATTGATTTGTGCAGAGAAATTAAGGACACTCAGGATTTCAGTAATTGCACGTAGCTAAAAGGCCGACATCCATTGTTGTAAAACAAAATATTTTAAGAGAAGAGCTTTGCATACATTAACTGCATTGTTTATTTGCAGATTGCGCAGCAACTGCTAAGCCTGCATCTGCTTGTCGATAAGAGCTCGACCAGGGCCACCACCGGGGTCGGCAATAATATGCAATGCAAGCACTTGCATCGAAGTCACATGGTGTCTGAGCCTATCGCAAATGCTAAACCGTTGGAAAGATGGGATTAACCAGACGCACTATGCTCGCCTCCACCCAATTTCCTGCAGCAAAGGTATTTTCAGTTGTACGTAAGCAGTTATTTGTAAGTTATTTGTTCTGTGTATAAAGATAACCATTTACTAGTCACACTGACATCGCAGGTACAAGCTAAAACCCCAAATAAATACAACATACTTCGGTCTTTGCTTAAGGAATTTGAATATGTTGATATACGATCAGTTTAAAAAATAATGCATAGGAAAATTAGCCAGCTCAAAAGCAAAAGCGTGACATAATTCCTGAAATGAGGAAGAACACCCTATCCAATTGAAGCATCGGTGGGGATGCAACTATAATGTTCAGGTTCGGTAATTTATTTTAATTTTTTTTTATCTTGGTTACTTTTGTGACCAGATTAATGCTAATTATTTACACAAAAAATAAACAGGGTGTGCTGAAGACTGGAATTAATATACGTGAACACATGTTAACACTTTGGGGGCTAACTGATGTTTCCGACTCTCCGCAAAAGATGTTTTATGGGCTTCTATCTAATACATTATTGTCTTTGGGGTAAAATATAACATTTTTAGCGTTGATCGTTTAAGTCTGATCTCGTATCTGTCATCCCTTTGATGGATGCCAGATTTTGGACCCACGACATGTATGCAGTCACGAGAGTGTAAAATACAACGCACGAAAGTTGTACCAAAGCAAACCATTTCTCAAATAAATTACACCGATTATCGATCCCTTTTTTGGACGGTTATACAGACCGAAGTAAACCTTTGTAAGCAATTCTTATGTGCGGCTAGATAGGCCAACACATTAATATATCAGGAAACTTGTGCAGTGAGCGAAAAACTTCAAAAAGTACAAACATTTATGACATGCTGGGTTATCTAGACGCAGTTCAAACTCGTGTTCCTACTTACTCTGTTTGCCCTAATTTTCCCTCCTATACATACACTTGATGATCCACC